ATACAGTCAAATTTCCTATAAATCTGTTCTTCATTTACATCTTTTTCTGTTTCTGCTGTCAGACGACCGAACAAGTATAAAGAACTGACTTAAATGTAATCTACTGAGGCGCTGTGGAGCATGAGTAGGGAGCAGACGCGACCTGACCAACTCCGGTATATTTTTTTAAGTTTGCAAACTACTCTTTAATCCCCTAAACAGCCCAGATTTCATCAGGAGGGTCCACAGGATGACAGGGAAGGGCAGTACGCGCCGGGAACGAGCAGAGAGAGGCCACTCGTCACGAAATAAGGACAAGGCTAATGCTAACAGTGGTGCTAGCCCTCAGTCACGTAATGGTGACGACGACATTGAGGACAAGGAGTATGGAATAAGATTATTGTCAAAAAGGTGTGTGCATGATTCTAACATTCGTATTCGTATTTATATGTCAATAAAAATCTTGTACCCAAAACACTGGTTTCACATACATGAGTCTGAAAAATTGTGTGGATTAGAATAGTTTTTATGTGAGTATGAATCTAAAAGCTGTGAGTGAAAATTCTTGTGAGTACAACTCCAATTTCTATGACTACGAAGTCTTCTCCTCTCTGTGGACACGAATTCAAGTTTGTGGGTACGAGTAAAAAAGTGTTGAAGTGACGTCACACGGGGGAGTATTTGATCTGGCGAAACGCTACATGTTCCAAATTCAAAGATGGCTGACAACGGTGTTCCAGGTGGAGCTACTAGCTCCACTGAGGCATCACAGGTATGGTATAAATGACGTGTGTATCCAGTATTTATTTATATATTACGGAAAAAATACTGTTTTAGATAATATACGGTCATTGGAGTCTTACTCTTACTCTCATAGAGAGAGCGTTTCTTCAGGGTCCAGTAACTTAAAGCAATTTAAATGAAGTGGTGTAGTATCTCCAAATCACAACCGAGCGCCGCAATTTTAGCGACGTTCACTGTCCGGGTAAAATAAAATTTAACAAAACTAATGGGAACTTCTCGTGCTCTCGTTTATCTAGTTTCCATTTCCTTCCGTACAATACATGACAGTCTATATTGCTCGGTTCGTGACCATCGGCCATACACTACTTTTCACGGTGCATTGTGGGATATTTTGAGTGCACTATATCATTTGTAACTTAACATTCAGAAACCCCTACAAAATGGCGTACACCCGATATAGTGCACTATATAGGGCATAGGGAATGATTTTGGACAAAGCCAGGGAGTGACTTAAGCTAGATTAGCACAACTTTAGCAATGCTATGTAAATGAAAAGCATGACCTACAAAAGGAAGCATGCGTCACTCATCATGACACATGGCAGAGAGTTAAAGTGAAACAGGAGACATGATGAGTCACTCCTGTAATACTGCCTGGCTGTAGCTGACTCCTGTACTACTGAGAAGACAGCAGTGAGGACTGAGGATTGAATGGAGTCAGAGCTCCATCTAGTGGACAAACGGCGCAAGGACAGTATTCTGCCTGACTGTGACATTTGTCAGCACTTCCTGTTTTATGAGAAAATAACCAGACGGTAAGCCAGAACATCACCGAAATTTAATCATCTGTTCATTGTGCCATTATCAACATTTCCTGAAAATTTCATGAAAATCCGTTCAGAACTTTTCACGTTATCCTGCTAACAATCAAACAAACAGATTAACTCTGGCTGAAACATAACCTCCTTGGCGGAGGTAATAAATTCTACATTTGAAATATCATGCATTGGGAGCTACTAAACCTTTTTTTCTGGATTACTGTATAGTGAGAACATGAGCTGATGCTCATGAGGGTCTGGTACTACAGTATGTTCCAACACTGCTTTTATGGAGACAGAGGGGGTTGTATGTAATCAAGAAAAGTTGGAACACCTGTAGGAATTAGTAGCACCAGCTTTTAAGGCTGTTTCAACCTTCATTGCTGCAGAACAGC